AAAAGTCCTACATTTAAAGATGCTACATGCAGAAATGGGCACAACCAGAGGAGATAATTTGGCAGTACCTGCATTTTCTCAGAGCTTATCAGTACAATCAGCTGAATCACATGACAACAATTCTCACTGGACTGAGCAAACAGATATTTGGATGCAATGTGTGCACATTTACTTTTGAGAAAAATGAATATAATGATATGCTGGGGCAATCTGTAACTGAGCCATGGTAGAATGATGTTCTAGGACCCATGTCATTATACTGGCTCTTCTTACAAGTGATCTTACAAGCTATGGTTGAATTTCATTGGGGAGGGAATCCTCCAGCCTCATCCCCCGTTTCATAAGAGTTTAGCAACAACAATATTAGAACTACAGAACTGGAAAGGACCCTATGGATCATTGAGTCCAGCCTCTGACATACTGCTTTTCTCCAGTTGTCTGTGGAAGTTATATGACTTCTGTGGAACTTGTTTTTACTTGAATATGTGTTCAAAAATATCCATCATACCATCACCTGCCAGCTTGGATTGGTGCAGTAGATCAAAACCACACCACAGGGTACTACTGATCACCTACTTTTCATTTTAGAACTCACCATGCAGAGGAGGAACTTTGAGTAGCAAATTATATAGACAATAGTATTTCAGAGACTTGGAAATAGCATCATAGAATCAAAGCAAGCCATGGTAGGCATGTCCACTTTTTCCAATACTACCATAATCTCTTGTCAAACTGTTCCTTTGGGATTTTGTAGCTTCTTGGCTATTTCTTGCAAGAGTGTCCAAAAGAAATGTGTCTATTTTTACTTTTTAGCATTAGTTAGACACAGCCTGAAATGAGGTGTACCAAGTCACAGTTATAGTAAATGAGCTTTGCTGAAGGTAAGCAGGTATGTATAATATTACAATGTTTCCCCCAAAAAATAAGACAGAGCTTATATTAATTTTTGCTCCAAAAATGCATTAGGGCTTATTTTCAGGGGATGTTTTATTTTACAGTCACATCATCTTCGTCTAGTTCCTGCACAATGGTGTTTTTAGCATTAGTTAGACACAGCCTGAAATGAGGTGTACCAAGTTACAGTTATAGTAAATGAGAGTTCTTGATGAAGCTTTGCTGAAGGTAAGCAGGTATGTATAATATTACCACGTTTCCCCGAAAATAAGAAATCAGTATTAGCCCTAGGGCTTATATTACGAGCATCCTGAAAAATCATACTAGGGCTTATTTTCAGGTTAGGTCTTATTTTCGGGAAAACAGGGTAGTACCCAGGCAGGAAATCAATATTAGCCCCAATGAAAGCTGCTTTGAGACAGCAAGTAAACTAACAGAATGTAGGTCAATATTTAGACAGATAGACAATGTGTATATGTATTTTTAAAATATTAAATGACTGAGGAGGGTGGCAAGAAGTCATAACTCATTGCTAATATTTGTTTTGTCTTCTTCTCTTTTTCCAGTAATTACAGTGCACTATTAGGAGTGTGGATCTATGGTTTTTTTGTTGTGGTCTTGCTGGTACTAGACCTTGTGTATTACTCCTCAATGAACTATGATATTTGCAAACTGTATCTTGCAAGATGGGGGTTCGAGGGGAAATGGATGAAACCGGAACCAAGCCGGTGGATTAAACCTGCTCAGGACCCAAGACAAGTACAGACTCAGACTCAGGCTCAGCCTACGCCTCAAACATCACAGGCAGGACATGTATTAAAAGGAGAAGCTTTAAACCCACCACTGATGTCTTTTCCAAGTTCAACTGCCTGGTAAGTATTTAAGGGCATGGTGCCTAATTTCTTCATTTCGTAGCTTTGTGAGTTATCTATTGTCATGGAAAAGAGATTATTGATGGTGGTGGTTTTATTAACAGCTTTCTTTAGTAACAATTTCATGAAAGAAAAGGTAGACCTCTAGCATTCACTGGCTCCCCATTGCCCCTGTGCACATGATAGGGCCCTGAGGTTTGTGGTGACTGTAGTGTTTCAGATGGAGAGTGCTGTTCTTGAAGAAGTCTTCATGCCAACAGTTCACATTGTGCCACTCTGAGAGTTTCTAGTGATATTGAGTATATGAAGAAGCATGACTCTTATTTGCCTGGAAAATTTCATTAGGGAAGAATGGATATAATGTCAGGCTGAAGCCATCCCTGACAGCAGCGGGTCCAATGTCTTTATCTTTTTTTTTTCCTTTTTAATTGACTTTCCAAGCAGGGTATGCTATCTAATTTCATAAACAGAACCACCTTAACTACAAGGCTCAGCCCAAGTAAATAACAGATTCATATATCTGTTCAAGAGCGTCCAGTGTAGGTGTGGCAGGTATTTTGGTAAGCGAAGAAGGCCAACAGCTGACAGTGTAGCATTTGGAGTAAAGCTGTTAAGGGGTCAGAAAGGTAGATGAGAATAAGAGCCATCTGTATATGTTCTGTGTGACATGGCTGTTCAAGGTACTAAGCTTTTAGGCTTATTAGTATGCATTTCCGTGTAGTAGATATATTGTGTAGAAATGAAGACTGAGGGCAGAATCATTTTTGTTCTCTCCATTTAGACAACAACCCGTCTAACTGGTTGGACATCTGACAAGTTTGCACAAGAAGGTATGGCTTGGTGTCTCCTTGCACAAACTTGGGAAGTGTCCAATGTTTGCATAGTGGACTGTTGTGTGAGAGGAAAGAGCAAACAGGATACTGTCCTCTGAACCCAAAAGAGTAATTTTGTGTTTTGTGGTTGACCTCCCAGCCTGGTGAGCAGTTTCTTGATCTGAATGTTTATCTTTTAGTCTCACTGATTCATGTGACAGGTGTTTTATATATTTTATAAATGGGCACCCCAGTGGAACGGTTTTGGGCTGGTATTGACAGCACCTCATCAACATTTCTACTGTACCCACTGCCCCTAAAAGCTGGGAACCCCCAGTATACAGTATTAAGCAGCTGGAGCTTCTTCTCAGAGTGTAATTGTGATTGCATGTATTTAAATGGCTGTTTGGCTTCACATAATGTAGTATGTTGGTTTGGGGGAGAAGTATATTTACTTCACATTTGTGAGCCAAACTAATTGGGACTCCTTAGTCTAATACAGGAAACAGAATACAATTGTTCTTCCGAATTTGAACTTCTCTGAATATTGTGATGCATTTAAGATGTAATTTAAAAATTCATGCAAATGCATTTATTAGAGAAATTTTGTGTAGGAATCCATACTGTATATCTATTAAAATTGTGTACAAAAATGGGGATAACAGGGCAAGCAGTATACCAAACAACGTATGTAAGAGAAATTCGGGGGGGGGGAGGGGGAGAGGAAATAGAAGGAGAAATGTGTACAGTATGAACACTTTGTCTATGTGAAAAAACATACACATTTTTATGTGAAAGTCTTTAAAATATAAAAATAAAAAACTGATGTGAAAACATGATAGAATATACCTGTGCCTGGAAAAAAGTGAATACTAGAAAAGATGATGACACATTTTATCTTTGTTTAACATATGCACTGTTTAAGAGGTGTACATGCTGTTGATAAAAATGGGATCTCTTTTACTGCTTTTATATATACATGGACATTCTCCTAAAAAAAATTCATGAAAATTGCAACTTTGTTTTGTGTACATTTCAATGCAACTTTGAACTGTGGAACAAAATGATCCCTGTAATTTATTCTGAAGGGGAAGTCTTGTTTTGTGTTATATATTGTTTTTAATTTCCATATATCTTACCTATAAGGCATCTAGAATTATTGCTGAAGAAAGATAAAGAGAAATATTAACAACAACTTTGCTTCTTGAGCCTGTGGATGTATCAAGTTGGTTAGGTTTCACTCCTGGATAACAACTGACTGTCTAGGACACAATAAATGGGATGGTTTATACTTTTTTTGCTTCTAAACCTGCTTTTCGTAATGTTTTTACCTAACTTTTAAAATATGATGTTATTAATTCTTTGATTTCTTTGGTTTCTAGTTAAACTCCATCTTTCCCTGCTCATATTAATAGAATCTGAATATGAGCTCCTAAGTGTCTGGCAATTTTCATGTGAACTGGCCTTAACCGTTTCCGAGTTTTGGAAGGCTCAGGATTCTCATTGTACCAGTTCCCATTATTGCCAAGAAGAAATCTGCTGTCAGTCTTTTTTTTAATTTTTTTGCCAGCCATTTCTTAAACAAAGTTGTTTGAGAAATAGTTTAAGAAGTTTAAGAAACTGTTGCAAGCCACCCAGAGACCTTTGGGTAGTGTGGGCAGCATATAAATTAAATAAATAAATAAAATAAATAAACAAGACAAACCAATCAAGTTATCATGGTCCAGGAGAGCTCTTATTTCTCACCTTCCCACTGTTCCAGAGGAGGGAGGCTTGTACAGATCATTGTTTAGATGAATTTGAGAAGGAATAAGAGGACACCTAGTGGTAAATGTAACTTTCTTCACTCCCATCACTTTCTATAATTTCTTTTCTACTCCATACTCCAAGAATTGAGACAGAAATATACCGTATTTTTCGCTCCATAAGACGCACCTTTCCATAAGACGCACCAATTTTTTAGGAGATTGTTTAGATGAATTTGAGAAGGAATAAGAGGACACCTAGTGGTAAATGTAACTTTCTTCACTCCCATCACTTTCTATAATTTCTTTTCTACTCCAAACTCCAAGAATTGAGACAGAAATATATTCTACATGTTGCTGCACTAGTGGAACTGTTAACATACATGAAAATCTATACAAAGAACTCTCTTGAGTATTAGGTGTGTCAGAAGCAGGTTTAGTATAGTTTTGTAAAAATAGAGAGGTCTGTGGCATCTTCCAGGTATTGACATTAGAAACTGAGTTTTCATAAGCTTTATCAGTTGCATGAAATAGATCATGAAGGTGATAGTGATAGAGACAGGTTCATATTGTTAGAGGTCACAGAGACAGTTTGGTCAAATACTGTACAAGGTAAGATTAAAGGAGAATACAAGTATTCATGACTGTTTGCCCTAGGTGAAAAATGGCATTGTTGATGTTGTGAAGAAGCATAGCAGCCAAGCAGAAGCTTTGCAGACATTTTCTTTAATCAGTGAGAGAAGCAGTCTAGTGGTTAGAAGTGCTGGATTGCAACTGGGGAGATCCAGGCCTGTCCCAATGTGCCATGACACTCGCTGAGTAACCTTGGGTTGGTCGTCCCCTCTGAGCCTGGCCGGACTCATGGGGGTTTTGTGAGGACAAACTGTCTTGAGGTCTCTGGAGGAAAGTTGGGCTAGAAATCTAACTGTTAAATGAGGCGGAAAGAAACTTGTCTGGGTAGTGGAGATACGTAACAATGACTCAGATCTCTGTCATAGTGCTGTGTTTTTCAAAGGGGCATATGCTGAGTTTATTCCACAGACAAATACATAAATAACATACAGCAGTTATCTGTATACTGCTGTCTGTTATTCTTGCTTAGAAACCACAATATACAGTTACATTAATTGCAAATCACAGTTTGGTTCTGAATGTTGTACTATCTGTGCTTTTAAACAAGAATCACTGTTATGCCTTTGATGGCTACAGAAATACCTAAATTGGCAACATTGCAATAATTTGATTCTATGACCTTGCCAAAATGGGTAATACCTGATTGCACCTTGCCAAAATTGGAAGTCTGTGTTCACAGTTAAGTGTAACATCATTATGGAGCAAGATGACAAAATATAATGTACATATTTTCACATATCTTCATTCAATAATATACACATATTCTGTACTCAAAGGAAGACATTTATTCTGATATCAAAGAAACAGTGCCTATCAACCAAACTGGTTTTGTATACTTGCTTTGCTGCTCGTGGCTATCAACTATCCGCTGGAGCAGCAGTGTTTTCAGTGGTTTGATTAGGCACCCTTCAGTCTCTAGAGACTATGGTAATGTGCTCTGTATGGAGGTCTTGGAACAGCGTCTAGTGTGGCTGAGAAGGCCAATTTGAGAGTGACAATCCCTTCCACACTAAAGACAAATCCAATCTTTCCCCTGTCCAGCTCCCTGATTGAAGGGTCTCTTCAAATTGGGAGAGGCCATGCTGCACCACCTGCCTCCAGGCTGAACGCTTAGATGTCAAGGTTTCCCATCTGTTGAGGTCCATTCCTAAGGCCTCAGATACCACTTGCAGATATCCTTGAATCACAGCTGTGGTCTCCCTCTGGGGCGATTTCTCTGCACTAATTCTCCAAACAAGAGATCTTTTGAAATCTGACCATTAGCCATTCTCACAACATGCCCAAGCCAACATAGACTTCACTGTTTCAGTAATGTATACATGCTAAACATTTCAGCTTGTTCTATGACTACTCTCTTTGAAACCTTGTCCTGCCAGGTGATACCAAAAATGCGTTGGAGGCAATGCATATGGAAGG